CTTTCTGGATCATTGTTCGACATTGCAGTTAGATGCGCAATGTCTTTTCCTTGATGAAAGAGTGATGCGTGCTGTTGTTGGTAGTGATGGATCTGTGGCGTCCAATCGCTACGACGGCTGGCACTGCCCGCCACCTACGCAAATCTAGAAGGCTGAGCAGGCCACCTCATGGATTTCATCCAAGCTTCCACAACCCAATCCTTCTCACTCAACCTTCACCCACAGTCATGCAAGACGACAGAGCTCTCACGTTCGGGCAAATCCATGGAAACAAAGAAGCGCTCCTCTCCGCAGTGGAACGCATCGAGCGCATCGCACTTGTCGAAAGCTACGAATTAGGACCACTACGTCTTCGATTTCTAGAGCCTTACCCTCAAGGTGGAACGGAGTTTGATTACGTTCTCACTCCCGCTCGCGAACTTTGGACAAACGAGTTGTTGTACGATTATCATTACATCACGGTATCTTACGTGTGGACTCACTCGCAGCCTATCAACGGAATTGAACTCCCGGAATACCGTATCTGGGACGGCGCCGACTTGAATAAGTATCCTAGACTCCTCAGGTGCCCGCCAATTGTATTTCATCGTGTTGTGCAGTTTACGAAAACTGAAAAGCTTCACGTACTTCGTCGTGGTATGCCAGATGTGAAAACTTATAAGGTCGAGCGAATCTGGATAGATCAGGAGTGCATTGATCAGACCGATCCCAATGACGTGGAGAAACATTTGCAGGATATGCATCGGATATACCACTTCAGTGTATCTACCGTGGCTATACTCTCCAAAGTTTCAGCTAGTTGGGTGCGTTTGTCAAAATTCACCCCCGAGGAAACTTTGAGGCGAACTGTCGATGAAGTGAAAACTGCCGGAGAAACGCTGAGGGAGATGACTGAGGACCCATGGTTCAGTAGATCCTGGTGAGCTTTCTTCGAGGATACTCCGAACTGAGACTAACGATCCGATTCCATACCAGGACGTTCCACGAACAATACTGCGCCGGATATGTCGCATATCTTCTGCCTAGGCCGCCATTGCGTCGACATACATTGGGTTCCCCAGAGGGTCTCGTGGCGACCTCGGTCTCAGTACTTGAAAAGGATATTGTTGTACACAAAGATAAGATGAGGTTTCTTCTCTTCTTATGCGCAGAAGGGAACGAAAGTTTTCCAGCACTCGAGTCGCGCCCCCTTTTGCCTGGCAAGGGGACCTTAAGAGGCAGAAATCGCGACCATGGAGTCCCCTATCTTATCGAGAATGCACAAAAGATGATGGAGAATCGCGAGAATCAAGTTCTCTCTGATCGCCTCCAGATCATAGCAAATGCGTGTTCACTCTGGTGGAAGCTCAAGACAACGGTACTCAACACTTCAACGCAGAGCTACAGTACCTGCCTACTGGTATTGACAATGGCGAATACGTGGCCAGATCCCGCTGAGCGTGCATACCAATACCAGGTATTTGGAGATGCTTTCATGACGGGGGGGATCGAAGGCGCAATTGAAGAATTGATGGATGCGCAATGACGCGATCTTTGGCATCTTCCAGGTTTTCGCCCAGATTTCATCCAACCTTATGAGCGTGGGTAGCGGTTGTACCAGATACCGCAGACGGAGTTGGTGACTGCAGATAGAGAGGGTCTATCGCCGAGGTAGCACATGCTGTAATTTTTAATTGACTCGCCTATTGCCATCGTAGCGCGATCGAACGGGCGAAGAATGTGAAAGGGTTGGTATATGAACTCCATAACATCGCATATGAATTGCGCCTTAAGCCTCCAATTACAACCACCGTGTATCATTCAGTTTAAGAAAACTTCGTCCGTCGAGAACACTCCAATACTCCTGGAAAGCAACAAATCAAGACTTCTTTCCAATTACTCCAGCTAGCGCGCCTTCGGCGGCTTTCTTGAGCAGCTCCCGATCTTCATCGCTCATGTGATCCACCTTCTCGACGAGCAGCTTCTTCAAGAACATGTTCTCTTTCTTCAGCCCATCGTTTTCGGCTTCGAGCTTCTTGGTCCGGTCTTGCATCTTTTGACTCGTCTCCATGAGCTGCTGCTCGCGCTGCTTCTTCTTCTGCCGGAAGCGTGCGGAAGCAGCTTGATTGCGTTTTCGCTTGTCTTCTTCTGCTTCGACAACAACCGGATCAGTGAGGAGACTTGCATTGGTGCGTTCGGGTGATGTAGCTGATGATGTGGATGTTGCGATGCTGTCGGGGTATGGCGTGCGATAAGCGTTGATGTTGAAGCTTTGTGTAACGGGAGAGAATCCCTGGAGATCATCAAAGCCGATCTGAAGCGCACTGTCGTGCTCGTAGTGTTGCGGGATGTGTCCTGTCATGGTCGGCATTGCAGGCGCCTCGGAGGTGTACGGTAGGCCTTAGAATGACGTTAGTGACCATGGTCTGAGGCGAACAAAAAACAGCTCAGAAGATGCGGTGAACGCTGGGTTTTTCATCGATCGAACGATTGACGCAACAACATGCGTCTGTGCACAGCTTGCATACACACCTCCCTAGGCAGGTATGCAGTTGTCGCAAGTCCCGTCGCCGCGTTCGATCACGTGCAGCTAGCGAGAGCACGCCATCCCATCCCGAACAAACGTCATCCAGCTCTGGCAACTCAGAGGCACAGGAATTTCGTCCATACGTAGGCAAAGGGCCTAATGAGAGGGACAAAGAATTCGTTGGGGATGATGTACATGAAGTTGATGGGATAGAGATAAATAGAGGGGTTGCGCTTACCTGGTGCCGACACACCACTGCTGTGTAATGCATACGCAAATTGCTGGGTCTGCGCGATGACATCCTGAGACTGTATGTGCAGTGAAGGTGGGTGTTGTCCGCTGGGGTCATATTCGTGGTTATGGTAGAGATTGGCGGCGTCGAGGATATCGAAGAGATCACGTCCAGAGGAATTCCCATTCGCATGTACGTCGGTGAAGGTCGGCTGCCCAAAAGCTTGCTGAAGATAAGTTTCCGACATTACTCTCCATCGGCAACATGCGTTCTCGCGCAATCGCGTCTTTTCCTTTTGTCGTTCGTTTTCTGATCGTCGGCCTCAAGGTCGGGGGAATGTTGTTGAGCTTCGCGCTGGGCTTTTGAGGGGGTTGAGGGTTGACGTTCGCTCCCTGCAGGCGCGATGGTGTGCCACCCTATGAGAATCACACAAATGCCCACCGGCATGCGCTTATGGGCAGCGCACCCCACTGCCACAATCGCCTTTTTGGCAGCCATGGGAAATGGCGATCGCGTCGGATTGCGCCATATTTCTCATACGATTGTCAACGTCCTCCACGCTTTTACCTAAATTGCGTCGCCGAACAGCGTCGCAATACCAGCGCGCAGTGTTCCCGTGTCTTGCTCGCATGTTCGTAATCGCGAAGACCCGCGCTTGGGTGGGGCAGTATCTGCATGAGGCGTCCATGGGTTGCAGTGAGCTCGCGGCAATGCTGAGCCGGAGGCACTGGGCAAAGTCCCTTTTCCCAAAACCCACTTTGTGCTGTCTCGTCCATGCATCGTGACCGATTGTTTTGTGAACGCAACCTTTGCTCCTCTTCAAATAACTCTTGTCTTGCTGTATGTCTGAGACATGTAATGGGCGTGTCAGTAGTGATCGTAACGTTGTGTAGAGTGAGTCGTCAATACACAATGTCTACACACTCCGCGGAGTAGGGATATAAATCAGTACTTCCAGGTACACGGCATGGACACCGGACGCCTATACCAATAGAATATACTAGGAGACCAATCCCGATATGAAGACTCGAACACATTATGCAACACTTGGGCTGGCCCCGAACGCAACACCGGAAGTCATAAGTGCAGCGTACAAAGCTCTGGTGCTGAAGTACTTTGATGAGCTCCCGGAAATGGCCGGTGCTGAGGGCGTCGCGCGTGCTGCTGTGTTTGATGAAATTCATGAGGCGTTTAATGTCTTAGACGACCAGAGCCAGAAAGCTGTCTACGACGCTGAGCTTGCAGGGAAGGATGACGAGGTCATTGACGAAGCCTCTGCCTTTCACCATTCTCCTTGCTCTACACTGGAAGACTGCACAACAGCGCCTACGATACAGGAGCAGAAGAACTCGATGCGCGCTCGGGTACGTGAGCAATTCAAATACTGGCGAGTGCTGCGCGAGAAACGTCGTGAGGCTGAGGCACGTCTGAGTGTAGACGAGCTCAAGAGCCTGGTGGAGATCTGGGAAGAAGCCGAGCTCGAGAACGCAGCCGATCCTGTGATGAAGGCTCGATGTGCCACCGTCACTTACGAATACGTGGATGAGCTGAAACCTCGTGAGCGAGAGCATGAGGAGCGGCCAGTAAAGGCTTCAATACCCAGGCGCACAACAGAGATGCCCACAACGCCAGTCGCGAAGAAACATCGTCCGAAGACACCATGTGCGCCCACAAAGTCAATCGCTCCTGCACACATATCGTCATCGATTAAATCAGATGTTGCTGCCCAAAAACCCCGTTTTGATGCATCGCCGACACCTGCACCGTTCTCTCGTATAGGCGCGCGCGCCGCCGAGCTTGAACGGGCCGAAGAAAAGCGGGTCGAAGCAGCCAAGGGTGGAGCCGAAGCCCGCAAGGAACGGAAGGCCCAGATTGAGGCGGCCAAGCAAGCCGCACTTGAGAAAAAGGCGGCCGCTGCTCGTGCCTTCAAAGCGGACCTGAAAGTGGCAGCTGACGAACGGGATCGTGCGAAGGCTGAGCGCATCGCAAAAGCTCGAGCCAAGGTCCGCGGAGCACCAGTTGACATGAATGATGCTACTGGTGATTTTGTCGCTTCTGGAGAACAAGAAGGTATGTTGTCGCATGGGGATGATGCCTCCGATGAGGGTATGTCGGAAGACGTCAAGCTACAAGCGGACAAACGTTCCGATGCATGTGGCACCGAACACAGTGACCTCTGTTAGCGAGGAGATTGCAGTACGCGGGTAATTGCGTAGGATGAAGATGCATCAAAGCACACCTCATGAGCGTGTTTGGTACTGGCTATACGGTGTAGCGCGTGGTGACACGTATGCCATGGACGTGATTTTCCCATCCTCTTCTCTGATTCTTATATTAGTCAATGCAAATAACACTGAAGCAAACCAGCTCACCTTCGCTCTTGCCCACACGCATATCCAATCACCATCTTGTAGAGAGTCAATGAAGTTCTCGCCACGTCCAGAGCCTTCGTTGCCCTCCCATGTTGGATTTTCTTTACATCCCCAGACAACGCGATATCTCCGAATGAAGTCTCCATCAAAGACAGACGTGGCTCTTGCGACCTCGTTGCCTTGCAGATACCAAGCGTGTTGACCTTCAATACCCATCGGGCGTGACGGGTCATCATGTAGAAACGTCATAGCTCGCATCTCGTCGCAGTGTAACCTCTGTGGCTCCGTAGCCGATGGCGAGCGCGGTACATTGCTGAAGCTCAGGTCACCGCATATGTTGTCTATGACGCTGTGGATGTTGCTTTGGGGGTACATGTTGTCCTCGAAGTTTTCAGCGACGATTTCATTCTCCATGTCGCTGGGCGGAGACTGCGGGCGCACGATAGAGACCTCAAACCATGAAGAGGTGTCGTATGTGCCAGTTGTACCCTCTGTTGTCCAGCCCTGGTCGTGGCTGACAATCAGAAACTCTATCTCTTTGAGTCTGGGCGTTTCGTGATGCGTGGTTTCGGACTTGTCAAAGATTATCCTCATTAATGGAGACGCGGCGGAGAAGTTGTCGGAGAACTCTTCGTCCAGAATCACGAGAGTCCTGTCATTTTCATGAACGTGCTCGACCCAGTAACGAGCCTTGTCCAAAATGTCGAGGACGAGTTCGTTGGGAAGTCCTAGGCGGTGATGGAGGAGGGCACGGGTGCGATGAACATCACGGCGACGGGGCACGAAGGGTCTCATAGAGCTGCTTTAGTAATTGGCGCTTTCGGTCGGTCGCAGCGCAGAGGAATTAGGGTTGAAAGGTTAAAGAGGGTCGCTGTGGCATGTGTGCGAAGACACCCAATGGCAGGAGGGCTAGTGGAGAAACAGGCTTAGTGTCGCCCGCACCATCCCCCCGACGAGCCGAGAGTTACCACGGATCGGCACGCATGACAACTGGCGCATTCGGCCCTGCTGCCCATGTTTAGCTGGATCCTTATTCTAACCTCAGTGGAAATGCGAGAGACTTCAGTGTTGCATGGTATTGCCGCTGTTAGTGTGGCAGGCATGCGGCGTCTAGCAGAGCCACGGTGACTCACCGCAGGAAGCTCCTCGACCACAATCCCGCAATGTTCGTCCACACTCCAGGGCATGTGCACGCGTTCTTCTACGTCGATTTCTCGAAATGTCTTGCATCAGATCCTCCGTTCATGTCAAAATGTTAATCTGTTATTGGCGCGACAATATGGTAGGTTGGGGAATGACTCGGTCTCTTCCTTTCACTTGCAGATCATCTTAGTAGACTTGGCTCACTGGACTTGTTGCGCAAAACACTCATATAGTACACAAGGTTTTCAACGCAACACCATCGGCTCAAGAGTTTCTACTCCGTCGTGCTCGCGTTATGGAGCGTCTCTCATACCGCGAAGCGACCGCTCAAGACCTCACTAATATAACCGCAGCTTTCAGTGTCACAAGTAGGTGCCTTAGCACTATGACGAAGATTCTAGCGCTTAGGGGCAGTGAAAGGATCGGACGAGCCCGACTAAACAAGACCCCCAATCTTTCATTGCTCCTCGAGTAATTCTAGACAAGAATCTCATCGCCAGCCAATCGATTCAATTTCTTGTTCACGAGCATCGCTAGAACAGCCCCAAGCCATTCAAGGTTACTTCCGCAAGGCCAAATCTCGTGCGATTACATTACTGAACATTTCGTAGTCCCTCGACCTCACTACTTATTCCACCGCCAAGTCGACGAAGATTCACCGCGATGTCCTCAACCAATACCGAAGAACGTATCCGCAAATTCTGGCAAGACAAGCAGCGCCAAGAGCACGCGAAGATGCGTCTTTGCGACGACCTGCAGCGCGAGGCCGTCACCTACAACAACAAAGCCCTCCACTATCGGCAAGAGCGAGATTTCTTCCAATCAGTTCGAAATGGCGTCCGTAGGCAGGAGGCTCAACTTTCGCTTGTATGTACTTTGAGCAACGAGACTCCTTCTTCCCTCTCAGGTACCCATTATCCCGAATCGGCAATTCGCTAATGAGCTATTGCAGGAACAATGGTCAGCGCACGCGGTCGGCAAACACTACGACCTAGGGAAGCAGATCCAAAAGCTCGTCGTCATTACCGCGGCCCGCAAGAAGCTTCAAGAACAACTCGGTATGCCTGCTACTGAGGATGGATATGTTGACTGCGGTAAGCATGCTGGAATCGGGTCAGTCACGCACTCAGACTACGATCAAGATCCTTTGCTAACTTTTGAGTAGTATGTTCTATCTCCATCGACATATTACAGCAATGTATATTGGAAGTCAATGATAACGCGCTACAGTCTCTAGCAGCTTAAATACCGCTCTCAACAACGTCCTGTTTTCGCTAACGTCTTGATAGGCAATCGATACCTGCTGCTTAATCACGAGCTAGATTCGACGACTAGCGTTCGACACTATATGGACGAGAACATGGGTGGGTCTTCGCTTTTCGCGGACGAGGAATGGCGGTCGTAAACACCATTGGGCTATACGACTGGGCAACTTCGGTTGACTGTAGCTTCGTCTTGTGTTTGTCGTCGAGGGGTTACAGGCGGCATATCTAGAGATGATGTGTGACCACCGGCAGGAGGAGTGAGCTGCTTTAGTGCTTGTAGTGATGGGTATCAAAGTTGTAGGACGAGATTGTAATGAGCATTGTGGATATGAAATGGGTAACAGTGCAACGAATGTTGGGTGAGACAAAAGGAGTGTAGAATTAGATAGGTAGACCCATTGCAATCAGCATCACTCTCACATGTTCACATACGCTATGAAGCAGTGACGATAGTTCGGTTGGTGTTCAAATCTGCAAGACGTCAAACGGCTATTTATATCCTCCTTCAAATCGCCCGTGGCCCCTGAAAATCTCAACATTATACCGCTTTTACATTGTAACAGAAGCTCTGTAGGCCTGTTTGCTGATGTATGCTCGCCAGCTTTAGTACTTCTCGTCCACGAGACGCCTTTCCCCAACGACGCGAGAAGATGTGAAAAAGGACGAGGAAGTTGTCGGCTTGGGAAGTAAAGCGACGTGGAAGATCGAACAAAGGAGGAAAGCAAAGAGAACATGATGAGAAGATGAAGAGTCGCAGCCGGGCGTAAATCATAATTCGTGACGTGAGGCTGTCGTTGCCAAAAGAGAAGCGGCTTCAGGCGCATAGCTGTAGGTTCAGTCACAAAAGGGATGCGTGCTACATGCAGGGGTTTATTTGCGCCTCGTCCGGAAGTGAACGGCCATGTGAAGTCGAATGGTAGCTGTACAGGGCGTAATGACCTCCAGATTGAGAAGACGCTGTCGCAGGTCTCTGGCACTCTCCTCGTCGTGCGATCCGTCGCAGACGCAAAATACCCCTGTAACGGATGTGTGAGGGTCTGACGAGTAGAGTCAAAATGTCGTAGCGTCGGGTCGTATTGAAGAAGCCTCTATCAAGACGCAACTCCCTCTCGCTACCCCGCCACACACCCGCACCACCACGTTCCGATTCGACCAAGACTTGTGTATCTTGTTGTGAATATCTTTCCAACGCTCATAGTACGTTTCTCGCTCGAGCAGACGCGAAAGCGGATCCGCGACTAACATCTTTCGCCGCCCGACAGACCACCGTCCGAGCAAGCACCCCACCACCGTACACGAAGCCGCCACTCGTACATACCAATCGGGCATGCCTCCACTCTGGATACACATGGCGGTGGACGCGGCGAGGCTGTTCCATGCCGAGACGCGCAGATTTGAGCTGGCGCAGATGGAACGTTGCGAAGAGATACGGCGCGAGGTCGTGACCCTTGACGGCAAGGCCAAGTACTGGGGAGATCGAGCCGCCTTCTTCCAGACACGGGGACATTTGCCGGGAGACGAAGAGCTTGCTGAGGCTGCCTTGAAAGTCCAGGTAAGTCGGGATTTGAAGGCCCACCAGCCCAGCGTCAGGCCATGGCTAACCAAACCTCCGCGATAGACCCTCTTCAACCACAAGGCCGAAGACCGCGACTGGGACCTCGAAGACGAGATCAAGTTGCTCAGAAGGCTGACTTCCCTCCGCAAGGGGTTTCAGCGAGCACTCCACATGGCTCCGACGCGATCCGAGTACGTCGACTACGGCGACAACTCAAACCTGGGCGAGCGCTTCAGACTCCGCAACCGAGCAAGAGCCGTGATGCGCTTTGCCTAGGAGTAAGGGCGGAAGACTCAAGGAAAATTCGCGCGACAGTCCATACCGGCACCATTGGCAGTACCTGGGGATGGATGGGGTGATACACGGCGTAATGGATAGCTCTTAGTACCTAGACAACGGCGTCGAGGTGCAGAACCGTATTGGACATAGGTAGATGAGGCAGGAAAGATACATGAATAGAAAGGAAACCCATACCTACCTTCTCAGCGATGCAGGAGTATCCATACCATGGAAGTTTGAGGCATATAAACGTCATGCTGAACCGTGAGGCCTACGTAATATCCATGTCTTCGTGCTGCGCAAGTCGTGAGGTGTCCTCGAGGCCCTCAAGGCGATTATCACAGCGACAAGGTGCGGTTTGGCGCTTCTGAAGTCGATCAGGCAGTGCGCATCGCTGTCATCTCGCGTGATACTCCATAGATCGTGGCCATAGAATTGCAGTATTACTCTCCGAATTTCCGAATGGGAGCATATAGCAACTATGCCAATGCTGCGCTTGGGGGAGATCAACCCGCTGTCTCGTCCTGGCCTAAGCCATCCGCGCTCGAGTGCTTCGGCTGGCGTATCATGTCCACGCCGACAAGGGCAGACTTGCTGTCAAAGCAGCTTACCTTGAAGCAACGTAGCTAGTTGCATTTCTCCTAAGTCTGATCTCTAGACGCAAAAGGGCAAAGTCCAAGTAGACGTCATTCGCAAACGAAGTTGCTGCTGCTGCTGCTGCTACTGCAGAAGCGAAGACTAAGAAGCGGGCATGCGCCTCTTTAGAAAAGCATAAAAGAGCAACTCTAGGCAAGCACAAAAGATTGCACATGCCTCTATAGGTATTTCAAATCTTATCTTAGCAGTGCAATAGTAATCGGAGAAAAGACAGGGCTGCGCCGGCCTTTGTTCGCATACGCTCTGCTTAAGCATTGTGGTGTAGAAAAGATAAAAAAATAGCAAAATAGAGGGCTTGTTACACCTCCCCGTAGGGCGAGCCCGGTCGGACTCGAAGCTGCGTATACACGAGTTAGTAAACGCTGCCATCCACCACCGACGGCCATGACCCGCCAATCGGTGAGGGTACGACACCTGGACACGAGCCAGATGCCGTACGAGATATTGGCAAGATTAGAGCAATTATATAGCCAAAGGACTTCAAGGTTGCTATGATGGCCTTTGTTGATTTTCGAGGCGCGAAGGGGCGTGTGCCTGTGCGGGGATTACGCGGGGCGGGGCAGCGGCGGCGAGCGCAGAGACTGCTTCACATCGTCCACGGCGGCGAGGAGGCAGGGGTCTGCCAGTAAGACGAGGCTCCGCTTAGGCGTGAGCTGCTGCTCGTCGCGTTGAGCTCGCTCCTGTAGCCTGTGTTGTATGTTACGGAGCGTGTGTGGCATTTGAGACCATGTACACAACCAGCCATGACATGAACGTCGAGCCTGGTAGGATCAGGGTAGCCTCGATGGCGCACATCTTCTGGAGCATTGAAGACTCTTTTACATCGTGGTGTTTGCGCTGCATGCCGGTCCGGTCTGACGTCGCTCATGTATGGCAGCGGATGTCCGCACATCCACGTCTGCACCCACGCCTGCATCCACGGCATGCATTCGTTCAGCATTGCGCATCGGGATGGAAAGACGCAATTGCCATCATGAAGTGCAAGTACGCTCAACACTCGTGAATGCATTCGATGCGCGTTTTTGGTGGTACCCGGAACAAGTTGAGACGGGGGTGAAGCTGGCCACACGCGGCGGCATCTCCTTGTTGCTCACCTCGCCTCGAATCCGTGATGTCGCGCATTAATTGTTGGGTGTATGTGACACTGTCGTTGATAGTATTTGACTCTTGAGCGTGACTTCGATAATGCCTCAGCTTATGTCCGCAGTCGTAAGTTTCGAAATCTTGATACGTGATGAGCTATGCCTTCTCTTACCGGTACATCTTTGTAGCGGCAGGCTGATAGCCAAATTCGATGCATCGAGCCGTGAATGTCGGAAGTGTGTAGCATAAACCCATCTTGCATACATGGTCAGGTAATACCTGAAGCACAGGTGTTGAAGTCGTGTTTCCGGGCGAGTCAGGCTTGGCTACCTCCAAGCAGAAGACGACAGAGCAAGGGCGGGATTGGGGTGAGTCCCGGAGTATGGAACAAATATCGATCGCAACAGCAGGGTTCTGTTAAGGATTGATATCTTTCTGGGCCGAGACAGATACGATATATGGTCCTCCAAGGTGAGCGACTCTCTCACCCCTGGAGATCGCGAAAGTCGACCCACCGAGGGAGCGAAGATGACCCGTCGAAGAGCTTTCGAGTCGATCTGGATGAAGGATATACCTTTGGAATGACGTATGCTAAGGCAAAAAGCCGAAGGGCGTTGATTTGAAGCACAGCCAGTTGTACTCCGTGACGCTGTTCCGTGATAATGGCGGATCGATGGCGGACTTGAAAGAGACGCCCCGTGATGCGTGACCCATCAGATTAGCTTCATGAGGGCTTCTTGTCGGGCCAGCCCCTGAAGTAACTGATCCTCACATATTCCGCTGGGAGACGCCGTTGCGCAACGGACATCCTCTTCATGGAAACATGAGACGACGCAAAGAAGGCCAAAAAGGAATTCCCGTGTCGAAGAGCGTAAAGTGAGATGCGTTTCGATGCGCGTGCCGCTCGACACCAATGCATCAAAGCCGCAGATTGTTCAGCAGCCCGTATGTCCGCTGCTCAAATGCCGAAGGTTTGCTGACGTCTTTGGCCATCTCCTCACATCGTTCAATAGCGAACTGTTGCAAGATATTCGCTGTTGTAGATCATGTCCGCACTATGCACCTCATCGCGATTCTGGAGATGAATGCCACTCGGCCAACAGCAGAATTGCGCTACCTTCAGGTAACCCCTGACAAGCCCACATCGTGTGGCATCTTCATAATCGTCAAAGTCCGCACCAAGACCGATGAAAAGGGGCCTTGGTATCTAGATCATGTCCAGTTGCAGCGGTGCAGCGTTGCGACGTTGCGACGTTGCAATCAGACAACGTTGGTCCTTCGAGCTCCTCCAATGGATATGATTATGTTTGCGCAGTCAAAAAATCT